AACTGAGACCTTAAAAGGGACATAAATATGGTTTGAAAATTAACTAAGAATGCCAGAAAGCCTGATATGGCAATTCCACCCTCAGAAACATTTGCTCAGACATATCTGCCAACACCAGGAACAGCACATGGTATACATTCTGTTGTCCTCAGCAGTCGCAACAGATATAGATACAATTATTCAAACAAGCCAATTTGGGGGGGGGGGGGGCTGAGTCAGACTCTAAGAATATTCTTACTTGAACACAATACATTTTCTTTCATTGTGTTTCCCTTCTCTTTCTTGTTTTCCTCTTTCTGTTCATTTTTTGCAAAATATCAATTCCAAATGAAGTGCTTTTACATCCACAGATTATCAACTAGGTCTTCCTCAATACTGGGAGAACTATACAACAGACCTTTTGTGCTGAAACCCAGTTTTTCTCAGTTTTGATTACTGAAACGATCCTTGGACATTTCACTGGATTTGTCCTTGCAGAGATGTTTCAGTGCTAGACTAGTCTGGGTTGTTGGGCCACCGACTCACCCATCTCCTCTGAGAAATTAAGCATCAATGTCTCCTCACTATCTTAATTCTAAAGGGGGGGGTTTAAATAAAAATAGAACATTTTGTTTTTAATTTCTGCAAAAACAACAAGTAAATAAAATATACTTTTTTCAGTGCCACCTGTCAAACTTTATGACTCACTTTATCTTCTTTCTCACAATATCTACTTCATCTACCCAGTACACTAAGAAAGAAATGTTGTGATATCTATCAGAACACGTGAGTCACATGTGCAAGTGTCTGTTGTTGAGTACCTCAGTGCTTGACGACTCACAAATGAATGTATGAAGTGTTATCATTGAAACATATTGTGTTTTAAGTGACCTCAAGGGATATGCAAGCTCTGTCCATGGTCTTTTATCTGTAATGGCCATTTTAGAAAGGCAAAATAATTGCCTGATAAACATGCACTGTAACTTAACATACTAAATGACTCTTCCGTATAGAATACTATGGTGGCATTTAAACATCATAATAAATTGTAGTTTATACACGACGGTTGGATCATGGTTTTGGTGCCTGGACACAGACAATCTTATAAACTGGGTTTACTGGTTGGTGTTCAACTGGGGTTCCAAATCAGAGTTTGTAGTATAGTTTGTACTAATTGTGTATTGTCAAAAGACCCACCTGACCACAGAAATGGTAGTACAGAGAAGGTATCATCCCTTCTAAGAGGCAAGAAGCAGATAAATGAATGATTTACGCACAAGCCAGGATTTATTACTTTCTTCTGGAAGACTAGCTGGAGTTCCTTGCACAATCCACAGTTTAAACAATGGTTTATTGTAATGCTCTGAATATAGTCTGTATCTGTATATACCTGTAGTGCCCCAAAATAGCACATCTGTATAACTTACTGTATTAGTAAAGAAGGAAGTAGCTATGTGCAAGAAATGTGCTTTCAAAATAGCACAATATACTTTCATGTTTACAGTTTTCATGTGAATCAGCACCTTATCAACCACCTGTTCAAGGAAAAGTTTGCCCTTGAGATTGTTATATTTGTAGCAAGTATTCTGATCTGGCTGGACATGTTGACATTTAGTTTCTCTTGCTGTAGAAATCCTTCTCATTCTCCTGCACTTTGCCAACATTAGCTTGATGAGACAAGTACGAAATGAAAGCAATAACCAGCATGATGTAGTAGTTAGGGTACTGGGCTGGGACCAAAGAGACTGAGGTTCAAATTTCCATTCAGTTCGCTGTGCAGGCTTGTGCCAGCCACACACTCTCAGCATACCTCACAGTGTTGTTGTGATGGTAAAATGAGGAAGGAAAAATCATGTAAGCCATTCTGAGCTCCTTGGAGGAAGGGCAGAATAAACAAGTACTTGATGGATAACCAGGTCAGCGGTTTACAGCTTCAGGAGGAAGGTACCTGTTATGTATTGAAACTAAGCCATTCCTCAAGCTGTACCAGGAACGGGTCAAGCTTACTACTTTAGAACAATAGCTCGCCAGGATCCTGGAGCTAACCAATAGATAAGCAGTGTAATATAAATAGGAGTGGATGTGTGTTGGGTGTGGTGCTTGCACGCTTTATAAGCAGGGCTCAAGCCCTGCTAGTTGTCCTTAGAGTTTGCTGAAATCACTTAAACTAGAGCTGATCACTGCAATGCATTTAGAACCCAGTATTTAACAGTACAATTTTTAAAGAATCCTTTAGATGTTATGATTACATATGAATTACCCAAACGAGGTTTCAAAGTCGCAGGAGCATTTATACAACATGTGCTCACATGTGTGTCTTTGGGAGAAAAGGTCAAATGGGAGCACTTGTGGACCCCTGGAATCCTAAATTCACTTTTTTTAAAAAAAATGTATCCTGACACAGAAGAGATTGAATAGAGAGAGAGAAGAGAAGAGGAGACTGGATTTATACCCCACCCTTCACTACCCAAAGGAGTCTCAGAGCGGCTTACAATCCCTTTCCCTTCTTCTCCCCCCGACAGACACCCTGTGAGGTAGGTGGGGCTGAGAGAGCTCTGAGAGAACTGCCCTTGAGAGAACAGCTCTGAAAGAGCTTATGACTGACCCAAGGTTACACCAGCAGCTGCATGTGGAGGAGTGAGGAATCAAACCCGATTCTCCCAGATTATAGCCCGTGCTCTTAACCACTGCACCAAACTGACACACACACATACTTCCAACTAGTCAACAAAAGGTTTAGAGTGATCTCTGAGACAGTGGATCACTCCTAGTAAGAGAACAGCAGGCTCTGGCTGTCAGGCCTGGACTCTCTGCACTGTTCCGGGGGAGAGCCTCCTAAGCCAGCAGACAGCTCGGGCAAATACTGCTTGTTCTGCTCTAATGATGCAGCCTGTGAAAATTTTGCAAGCTATGGACAAGGCAGATGCTATGTAAAAGGTGTGAACTGCGGCCTAAGGAAAATGACTTCAATCTGTTTTAGAGTCCTGTAATACTATCATCCAGGTGTCATTTCGTAGAAAAAGAGGTGCAGGAGTTCATTAGCATAACTCATGAGCATAAATTATTTCCATATGCCACACCCCCTGACATCACCAGAAGTATGTTAGAAGGCAGGCAGGCAGGCAGGAAGGAAGGAAGGGAGGGAGGGAGAGAGAGAGAGAGAGAGAGATGGGAAGGAAGGAGAAAGAAAGTAAATAGGGAGAGAGGAGTGGAAGGGAGGGAAGGAGAGAGGGGAGAGAGATTTAAATCCCCCCCCCAGTCCCTCCACAAAAGCAGAGAGGCTCAGGGGAGAGGCAGGCATGCCTGGGTTCCCTGCTTGATCTTCTCCAAGTGCCCCGCAGCTACAGGGCACTTGGAGAAGATCAGGCAGGGAACCCAGGTCATTTAATGCGCCCCCTGAGTCTCTCTGCAAAAGCAGAGAGGCTTAGGGGGAGAGGAGGGCACGTCTCCCCACCTCCCCTTCTTTCTCCAGCCAGCCCACTGCGGCGGGCTGGCTGGAAAAGGAAGAGGAGGCGGGGAGACATGTCTGGGTTCCCTACTCGATGGAGAAGATCAGGCAGGGAACCCAGGGTATTTAATCCCCCGGGGGGGGCGGGGTCTGGGCTTGTTTCTGCCGAAGCGCCACTCCGGGGCACTCCAGGAGGAAACAACCCCTGCTATCATCTGCATATACAGTCTGTCATTATTAAAATGGCAAATAAAAGCATTTTCTTTCTGGTTAGCTCTGATCTAACAAAACTCACCACTGTTTCTCATTGCTTCTTTTCAGCACCATGTAAAGGAATATGTTGGTTGGGCTGAGTTGCAATAGTCAAGCAGTCAGGTGATCTGCAGTTACAACTAATAGACCTCCCCCTCCCTCCCGCAATTATTTCTTCAGATGCCCTTGTGTGACCATATTTAAATATCAGTCATAGGAAAGTTTTACATCTTAGGCTTCTTTCATAGACAGAAGGAAACATATTGCTAAGTCATTCTAGAATTCCAACTCATTTTGAGAAATAGCTTCACTTATAAATCCTTCCTGTTGTAGCTTTGGAGGACAGTGTGCTTTGCAAAAAGCTGTTCCACAGCATCAGGAGCAACTTTTACTGACTGTATTCCTTATACTGTCCAAATGTTTCCCATATTATCATCACTGTTGAAATACAGCACCATGAGTAAATTAAAAACTAACCAGATAGAAAATATTTGAAAAAAAGGAAGAACATGGGGATATGGGCTGAAATGGCCAGAGGGTTACGTTTGCAAAACTGGAGGAATATAATTGAGATGTGGTATCTGGATTAAGGCAAACAAAGATCAAACTGGAACTCTTCTGAGAAAATGCTTTACCTCTGCTGTTTATATTCCAGAAGTATAAACTGGATGGCTCATGAATAAAATTCCAGCTATTGCGGCAGAAAAATTTGAGTTGCCCATGGCAAAAGCCTCCCTTTTCACCACCAGCCCCATAAGTCCTCTGCCTAACCATAGCAAAAGTCATTCTGCTTCAGTTAACATATTCTATTTTGTAGATATGCAAGGGAGAAGCTGGTCACAATAGTAAAGTCAAAAACTTTGCATACAGAAGATTCCAGGTTCAATCCTTGCTACCTCCTCTTGAAGGGTGTTAGGTAACAGGAGTTGGGAAAGCTCTCATTTCTGTAAGACCCTGAAGAGATCCTGTCAATCCAAGTAGGCAGTGCTAAACTAGAGGAATCAGTAACTGGACTCAGAACTAAGCAGCTTCATACATGTTCTTAAAATCTCCCAGTTAACATTTTCTCTGTTTGTGATTTTAGGTAGACTCCCCCCCACACCTTAATTTCTGCCCTTCAAGTCAACATGTAAGAAGCCGTTTTATTAGTATAGTCTTAGAAAACTCTAGCTTGCGCAGCTTCACACAACAGTTTGAAAAATACATTTCAGAAGAAGGCATTTGTTTTCTCTGGTGAAGACAAGACAGCCATATATTCAGGAACTGCTTTGCCTGTCGTCTGAAACATTTAGCAGGATTTTTAAACACTGTAAAAACTGACCTTAGCATGATCCTGTAAACTAGAGACAAGAATCAGTAGGAGGATGACAGAAACCATATCTGTTTCAAACTGAAGTACAGAAACAGGGATCACAGATCTTCTGTCCTTCGCATCTGATGATAAAAAAGAGCAAGAATCAGCAAAAGTGATCTAGACATGTACGTGCTAGGCATAAACAAATAAGAGAAATGTTTCAGTACAAACTCAGTACATACTAAAGGCATGTTTGTACTGAGTTGCTCATCATAAAATTTTTACTGATTACAGATAGCCAAGTCTGCATGTACTAAACAACTCAGGGTGTTTTTTAGCCTGAAGTCTATCAGTTATACACTGCAAACACTAAAATGGAATTTCGCATGCATTCAGAATCAAAACTTTTTAAGTTTTGTATTTTGATTTTAGGAAAGTTCAAAGGCCCTGCTTTAACTATCCATCAATCACATCTTTAACACAACCTGCCTCTAAAGACCCCAGAAAGGCATACAAGATTTTCTCTCCTCCACTAAATCATAATACACAAACACATGAAACTGCCTTATATTGAGGGAGATGGTTGGTATTGTCTATTCAGACTGGCAGTGGCTCTCCAGTGTCTCAGGTCGAGGTTTTTCATACCGCCTGATCCTTTCAACTGGAGATGCCAGAGACTGTACTTGGGTTCTTCCATACACAAAGCAGATGCTCTACCACTGAGCAACAGCCCCTCTCCTGACATAGGGTTACCAGGTCCTTCCTCGTCGTCAGCAGGGGACTTCAGGGGACGTTCCTGGAGGGGGGCATGAAAATCCCCAATGTGATGACATCACACAGAAGTTACATCATCACATTGGTGACCAGCGCACCGCACGCTGTAACTCCAAGCAGCGAATTTGCCATTGGAGTTCACACCCCCACCACCGTTATTACAAACAGGATTCAAAAGGACCCTTTGAATGCTGTTTGCAAGAAGCGGGGCCCATGTGCACCAGAACTCCAAGATGTGGGGGGACCCTTTAAATGCTATTTGCAAGAAGTGGGGGGGGGGCACACGCACCTGAACTCCAGCAGTGAGTTTGCTGCTGGAGTTCAGGCATGCGGCCAGTGGCCACCCTTTTCCCTCCCTCCTGCAAGATTTAAAGGGCCCTCCAGCTGATCTGCATGCCAGGTGCTCCCACCAATCAGCTGGAGGGCCCTTTAAATCTCACAGGAGGGAAGAGAGAGGGGTGGCCATTGGTGGTCACTCTTGGGGGTGGGGCTTCCCCTGCTGGCCTGCAACAGGCAGGAACCCGCAAAATCGGGGGATTCCCCACCCCCACCTGGGGACTGGCATACCTATCTTAACAACAGTCCTATGAAGGCTGTATGTCAGACAGACTGATTGGCCCAAGGTTACCAAGTGAGCTTTGTTACTCTTGAACTGAGCCCCAGTCTCCCCAATCTAACCATTGTACCATACTAATCATTATACCACCCTGACCTGGATAGCCCAGGTTAGGTCAGTCTCGTCAGATTTCAGAAGCTAAGCTAGGGCAGCCCTGACCAGTATTTGGATGGGAAACCACTAAGGAATACCAGGGTCATGATGCAGAGGCAGGCAATGGCAAACCACCTCTGAATGTCTCTCGCCTTCAAAACTCTATGGGGTCGTCAGCTGTGACTTGACGGCACTTTCCAACAACCACCATTATACCTATAACGAAAATGAATTCTAAAGACTAACAGATTTACTGTGGCATAAGATTTTGTGACAATAGCCTATGTATAAGTTACCTTAAACAGTAACAATTGGTAACACATTGCTACCAATACAAATACTCATCAAAATCCCAGATCCACTGTCAAAGCAAGAATTCACTCAAAAATCAAGATACCTAAATCACATTTTTAAAAACAGCAATTCTGGCATTAAAGATTTAGATTCTACAGAGAAATATAGTAACGCAGACCCACATAGGTGCCCATAAATTCCAGGTCCTTTGTTGTTGTTCAGTCGCACAGTCGAGTCCGACTCTTCGCGACCCCATGGACCAGATCACGCCAGGCCTTCCTGTCTTCCGCCGTCCTCTGAAGTTTGCTCAATTTCATGTTCGTTGCATCTATGACACTATCTAACCATCTCATCCTTTGCAGTCCCCTTCTTCTTTGACCTTCAATCTTTTCCAGCATCAGGGTCTTCTCCAGTGACTGCTCCCTTCTCATTTGGTGGCCAAAGTATTTGAGCTTCAGTTTCATTATCTGGCCTTCCAGGGAACAGTCAGGGTTGATTTCTTTGAGGATTGACTGATTTGATCTTCTTGCAGTCCAAGGGACTCTCAAGAGTCCTCTCCAGCACCATAGTTCAAAAGAATCTATTCTTCGGCGCTCGGCCTTCCTTATAGTCCAACTCTCGCAGCCGTACATGACTACTGGGAATACCACTGCTTGTTCCTTATATTTGTAACCCTTATAGTCTTAGCTGGTTGCCAAAGAATTGCGGATGCACCATTCAAAATCTGACCACACTTAAACAAATCACATTTACTGAAAGGTGGAGAAAACAATAGGTCTTCAAATTGGGAGTTTTAAACAAAACAGTGTGAATAAAAATTATAATGAGAAGTCCCAAACTTAGGGATAAAAGAAAAGAGGGCAGTATTTCTATGCCCAAGCCCACCATGCAGGTGAAAACACGTGACACATTTTTAAATAATAAAAGGCTTATATATTGATTAAGGCCACAGAGCCTTAATCCTACTTTGTGATGAATAAACTTAAGGAGGGATCATAGGTCTGAATGCATGAAGAACCTTTAAGTACCCACTAAGCAGCTTCCTTATCCATCTATCGAAATTTTAGGGATGCCAACCTTCAGGTGGAACCTGGGGAGCCCCTGAAATTACAGCTCCTCTCCAGACTACAGAGATCAGTTCCCCTGGAGAAAATGAATGCTTTGGAAGGTGGACTCTATGGCATTGTACCCCATTGCGGTCCCTGTTCTCCGCAGGCTCCACCCCCAAATCTCCAGGAGAACTGGAAACCCTTCCACACCAGCCCTCCCGAAGGCCAGGGGGGACCTGGCAACCGTATTTTTATCTCACCTTTCCTCCAAGGAGCTCAGAATAAACATGGCTTCCATTTCATCCATTTTATAATCTCAATAATCCTGTGAGGCAATATAAACTGAGAGAGATGGATTGTCTGGCTGAAGTGTTATGTCTGAATGAAAACTTAAACCCAGCCAAATTAGCCACCACTACATTGGTTGTCAGCTGTTATACAACCTTCTTCAAAACTTCAAGCACACCAGTAACTATTCACCAGAAGTCTGATACCATGCACTATGTAAAGGCACATGCCAACTTCTATTCTAAAAGATATGTTTGTGCAAAACTAGAATTTGTGCCCATGTGTCAGTTATAGAATTTCTGGAAAAAAGTCACAGCTTAACATTTTTAGTTTCAAGGTCTCTTTTTAAGATTTCTTTTAATATACAACAAATCTGTTAATCTCAAAGTTACCACAGCATATTTTGTTTTATTGTTAGAGCTATTTTAGTACAATATATCCCCAAGGGAAAAAGCCAGCAAATATCCTGGCCAATTTTACAGTTTATATACAATGGCACAGCTGTGTCAGGGAATGCTGTTAAATTCACAAATGAGATTCCATACTGAGAGGTTCTGGAGATCAAGAAGAAGGAGAAGAAGAAGAGATTGGATTTATGCCCCGCCCTTCACTACCCAAAAGAGTCTCAGAGCGGCTTACAAACTCCTTTCCCTTCCCCTCCCTACAACAGACACCCTGCTGTGGAGTAGGTGGGGCTGAGAGAGCTCTGACAGAAACTGCTCTTTTTCAAGAACAGCTGTGCCAGAACTCTGGCTTGCCCAAAGTCATCCAGCAGGTACAAGTGGAGGAGTGGGGAATCAAACCCGGTTCTCCCAGATTAGAGTCCGTGCACTTAACCACTACACCAAACTGGCTAAAGCAGGGTTAGCTTTTCTCATTTTGTCACTTCAAGGGGTGGGACCATGGTACAGGAGGAGGCATAGGCCACCACTCATGCCAAGTGGCAGCAGCATGTGTGGGGGCACCACTTCCTATGTACCCCCACTGGCTCCAAGGCAGGCTGATGAAGATCTCTGTGCAGTTTGGAGCTGAGGTGGCAATGGCATAAGTGGAGAAACAGCATGGCTCCAAGGGGCTGTGGAAGGTCCCTATACCCCCCGGATCTCAATTTCATATGCTACGGCCTCAGATTAGTCTCTTAATGACAAGCCACTGAAAGTCATTTTCCTACCTTTCATGTGGGAGGCTCTTCCCTTCCCACTTATGGAGGCTGAAGAGAACAGGATACAGTCTGAAGTGAACGCACATCTGCTGGATTAGTTAACCAAAAAATGGGTAGAAGTCGTGATGGTGAACAGGAAAGGAAGGGTGGTGATAATTCTTATTCAATAGTGCACAGAGACTAGCATCAGGCAGAAGTGCTAAATCCTGTCACTCATGATTCATATTTAGTGGCAAGATATTGGCAAGAGGACATATCCTAAAATGGCTACCACCACTGGATAAAGAAAGAGATAAAAGCTTTGTTACCCAGCACCTGATTATCCAGATAACTGGCAATGCCCAGAAGACAAACTCCTCCACCTCAGCAACCATATCCCTGTATCTTTGGGTACGTGCATGCCCCACTACCACCTCTCCGGCTGATTAGCTTGATGCCTCTGGCCACCACTGGGCTTCTGGCCGCTAGCCCAGCCAACTCATGTCATTTTTGGGTGCCTCCACCCCCCTCACCTGCTGTGAACTGTCAGGACCCAGTTCTTAAAGCAGGCTCCTAGGCAACTGACCTATTGGTTTGCCTGCTATGTAGGATGGCTTCATGGTTTAGAGGAAAGGTCCTATCAAGTATGTGACCTTTTGTCATGGTGTTCTCAACGGGATGGAGTCTGGTCACCACAGATTCCTCTGAGTAAAGGCATACGTTTCAGTGACCGGTCCATCTGATTAACCAACAACCCCCATTCCCCATAAGTGTCAGATAATGAAGCTTCTACTGTATTTCCCCAAGGTAGTAGCTATACCATGCCAGTTGTCTAGTAGAATACACAACTGCTACTGAAATGAGACAGCTCCTCCAAGTAAAGTT